TCAATGCTCTCATATTGAGCTGACACGACAGTGTGGTTATGTTGATAATATAATTTTTCCAAAATTTTGGATTTTCAAAATAGAAAAACTTGGTGGGTGTGTTTTGGTCATTTGGTAATTTCCAGAATGGCTTTTTCTTGGCCTGATTAATCTGGATTGCATGAGAATCATAATGACACTTTTATCTCCAAGAGAACCTTGCAGACACATCCAATTTCATAGATTTATTTCTTGCTTTATCTTGTAAAATGTTTCCTTGGTCATGGCCACACATGTGTATTTGTTTGTACTTTAGGAACACTATCAATTTTCAAATCAGCTTTCACAATGAAATTACACATATCCAAAATCAGAAACATCATTTCTAAAAATACTTTTGAAATGACATCTATAAAAGACTTAAGCATGCATGCTTATTTTTTAGCTTCTTTTAGTGTATTTCTCATCAATTTTTGAAGTGATCATGACCAAATGACACACTGCCAGATTATTTTTTTGGGGGAACATCTTGTTCTTAAAAATGATCAATCTAACTGTTCATTACAAAAATTGTAAATGCTGAAACCTTAAGAAATTCGATCAACAATTACAGCCAATGTTTCCTTTTCTTCCCCAGCTATTAATCTTAAGAGTAGATTCACTTTATAGCCCCCTTGGGTTCTGTAGCTTGCATGCTTTATTCAATTTCACAGAGCAGAGAAACAAGAAAAAACATAATTTCTTTAAGCAACCAATGCTTGTTCTAATCAAATTTCCAGTTCATTTCTGCTTTATTTGGAACATGACTTTGCAACATGTGTATTTGTTTAAAGGCCCATTAAACCATTATGCCAATTTTTTTTTAAAAAGCCTTTTTCTTTTTAGTGTCCAGTGTTACAGTAGCCAAAACGTTACTCACTGCTCATACGTATTGTAGCTAAACCATCACTTGTGTCTTTTGCTTTTTGACAATTAGTACACTTAAAGTGATTGATTATTTTTTATGGCAGGTATAATACCACTTTTTTTACATAATTATGACTACTTTTACCACAAATTATTACACATTCAGTGCTATTTACTTCAGCAGGGATGGCATGGTCTATTGTTCCTATAGCCCTGGTTGTCCAACAGCCATGTATGGTCAAGTGAAAATTTTCATGAATTTGCTATATAAATATCAATGGACAAGTAAAAGAATGCTTCTGATGAAATTGGACAAGCAAGTCAAAATCAGATTTTGCCAGCCCTGCTTCAAGTGATAAGCATCTTACATGTTTTAAATCTATTATTACAACATTATAAAACACATGTTTGCCCATTCTGCTGAAAGAAAAAAAAATATATCTAAGGCTTAATGTACCTTTAACAAATTTACAATCCAGAACTTTTTAGTTCACATTAAGCTAATGTTCTAACAAATCAGTTTACATATCAATGAGCAGGGTATTTTATTTAGTATGAAAATAAACCAAACTTAAGTTCTTTATTGTCTCTTAAATCTGCAGAATAATCATAGATTCCAGGAAGTAACAGAAATATTCCATTTATTTCATTCCATACTACAGCAGGCATAAATATTACATTTTATAACAGTTCTCTTTCATGTAATTTTCAATGAAATTCAACATGCAATCTTCTTAGAAGAAGGAAATAAAGTTGCTAGGGATAACTAAGATTTTACATGTGATTGTTCAATTACTATCCAGATCAGGAAAATTGCGCAACAATTAGTATAATTATTTCGTCAATTATCCACCAATTAATTAAGACAGATCTGGGGTTATAAACAAACAGCAAACACCCTTTTAGCAATGATTCTAATGGAGAAAATATGTAGCATGCTTTGAAGAGATTGTCTATCAGGTTAAATCTTAAAAGGATTTAGAAACATCTTCATTTAAAAGACCTATACACTCCTACAGGCTTCTTCTTTTAATATAATCTACACATTTGTTTTTTTTTGCTCAACTAAACAAAGTGTATGGAAATTGGTTCAACTCAAGCATTTGTTTTCTTAGATACTGGGGAATAGCATGGCATCTTTTTTTTCTTTGTTTAATAACTTCCTTGTTATGTAAGGGATCTACTTCAAACTTGCAGGGCTTGGTCTATATAACCATCCACATATAAAAAATGACAAGGTTTCATAATTCTGGTATTTATACATTAACAAGAACACTGCATGTTGTGTTAACTCCGATCTGTTATGAGCAACAACTATTTATAACCAATCTGACAAAAAATCTAAGTTAAGAAGGAGTAAAACCCAAAAGATAAAACTTTAAGAATTTTGACCCTTTCCTAACAACTGTACTTTGTCATGATAAGCAAGTAAACCAAGTTTCATGTTGAAAAGTTTAAAAATATTTCAATAATGGGCTACATTAAAGTTTTGCAAGAGATCAATAGTTAAATGCCACAGTGCTTATAAATAACTTATAATATATGACTTCTTCTTCGGAGTAGACAAGCTGAAAATGATTCCATGAAAATTATTTCTATTGAGAGTTTCATATAATTTTGAAGTTGTTTTGCTTAATCTTAAGATCCTTATGACAATGGTATATGAAGCCTTTATCATATAGAGTCTCACAATAGTTAACTAGACTGTCTCCTTGACAGCTCTCTTAAACGTAGTTCCAAGAAAAGATTTACAATTTTGTTGAAAATTTACAATTTCACCTAATATAGTGTATGAGAAATCAGTGAAAATAATTTACATTCCCCAGAAATATGGAGTGTCTGTTGTTATGACGACATTATTTATTGTGGTTTTACTACAGACAATAATATTCTACATACAACGCTTCAGATGTCAAGGGGTCTGTAATATCTAATATCATCTTCATTTCTCATGAATAACAACTACAGTAAATTCCACTTATAACAATATCGCTTACAACATTGCTGTTGCGGAGTTCCGACTCTTGTTTTCAAACTGGTTGCCTTTTGGATATAAAGATATCCAGATATGTTGATATAAATTCAGCTGTCCCTTGAATACCATTATAAGTGGCTTTTACTGTTTGTGGAAAATGTCCATGTATATCAAGGCATGAATGCGAGCTTCTTGTCAAATCATTTAGATTTGTGAGCATAATGCCTTTTATGCCACACTTTGGGGTTATTAATTGCATCCTAATCAGCACAGAAAATAAGGAAACTTGAAAAAAACTAGAACTGCCACTATCATGGCGTGAATACCCCCGCATACCACTTTGTCAGAATCAACAGTGGCCATTTAGAGCTCAAGGACAACCTCCCTGCCAAATCTGAGGTTACTAAGCCAGTGCATTGCTAAGTTATGTATTCTACATGCTTCAAATGTGAAAATGTCAAAATCAATACATTGCGGACAGGACATTCTTTAGCAATTGAGAAGAAAAGCTTTTTTTTTGTCAAGGTCCCTGTGACCTTGACCTTTGACCTCAAAATCAATAGGGGTCACCTTATAGTCATGATCAACATCCATACCAAATATGAAGACTGTGGGTCAAAGGAATCTTAAGTTAATGGGTGGACAAACTTTTTGAAGTCAAAGTCCCTTTGACCTTGACCTTTGATCCAGTGACCTCAAAATCAATAGGGGTCATCTACTAATCATGACTAACCTCCATGCCAAATATGACGACTGTAGGTCAAAGGAATCTTAAGTTATTGGGCGGACAAGCTTTTCGAAGTAAAGGCCCCCTGTGACCTTGACCTTTGACCTGGTGACCTCAAAATCAATAGGGGTCATCTACTAATCATGACTAACCTCCATGCCAAATATGAAGACTAAAGGTCAAAGGAATCTTAAGTTATTGGGCGGACAGGCTTTTTGAAGTCAAGGCCCCTGTGACCTTGACCTTTGACCTGGTGACTTCAAAATCAATAGTGGTCATCTACTAATCATGACTAACCTCCATGCCAAATATGAAGACTAAGGGTCAAAGGAATCTTAAGTTATTGGGCGGACAGGCTTTTTGAAGTCAAGGCCCCTGTGACCTTGACCTTTGACCTGGTGACCTCAAAATCAATAGGGGTCATCTACTAATCATGACTAACCTCCATGCCAAATATGAAGACTAAGGGTCAAAGGAATCTTAAGTTATTGGGCAGACAAGCTTTTTGAAGTCAAGGCCCCTGTGACCTTGACCTTTGACCTAGTGACCTCAAAATCAATAGGGGTCATCCACTAATCATGACTAACCTCCATGCCAAATATGAAGACTGTAGGTCAAAGGAATCTTAAGTTATTGGGCGGACAAGCTTTTTGAAGTCAAGGCCCCTGTGACCTTGACCTTTGACCTAGTGACCTCAACATCAATAGGGGTCATCTACTAATCATGACTAACCTCCATGCCAAATATGAAGACTAAGGGTCAAAGGAATCTTAAGTTATTGGGCGGACAAGCTTTTTGAAGTCAAGGCCCCTGTGACCTTGACCTTTGACCTAGTGACCTCAAAATCAATAGGGGTCATCTACTAATCATGACTAACCTCCATGCCAAATATGAAAACTGTGGGTCAAAGGAATCTTAAGTTATTGGGCGGACAAGAAAAAACCGACGGACGGACGGCCGGACGGACGGACAGCTGGACAAGCTGATTCCAGTATACCCCCCTTACAACTTTGTTGTGGGGGGGGGGGGTATAATTATCAACAAAATTTTAGTCAATGGGTATCTTAATCACTTGTAAATGTTTCACAGAATGGAAGGACAATGACTTCATTATCATAAATATGGGGTATAATTAAGCTTTTAAGTTTTCTGAAAAATCAGAAAAGAATTGGCAAAGTGTTTCTAATTAGGAATAATGATTATGTGACTGTGGTTTTCTTCACAATTCACCATTGTTCCATTTACTTCCATATGATGATTGTGTTTCAGTGCCATTGTCCATATAAGGAAAGTTATTTTTCTTTACAGAATTTCAGTACATTGGCATAAAAGCAGCATGCCTCTAGAAGATTATGTTGCGAAAGGTCGTTATAATCAAGAGTTGTTTAGCTACTTATACTATAAATGTCTTACCTGTGACCTTGAGCCCATCGGATCTTTCACACCAGACAGTTCGACCCTTGGCATGCGTCCATTCAGATGTCTGCCAATGGAAGGAGAAACATTTTGTTGCCTCACATGGTCGGCTCTCCCACAATTGTTCAGGGCATGGTGGATTGTTGAGCTGGGCCTTGGCTAAGATAGCGCGGGATCGACTCTGTACACCTCTTGTATAACCTTTAAATAAGTTGTACATAAAAGTAAAACATGATCAGCAAAATTTTTTTTTTCTCCTATAAGTTGATTAGAACACACAGGCACCACTTTGTGTCCTAAAAAAAACAATCTGATGGCATGACACCTAAGGCCTTTGACCATCAGTTAAGCTGTTAAGTTTCCACATGACCTTTACAGTGCTGTTGGCACATGAAACCTAGCAACTTCTGGCATTCACAAGTCCAAAGCCAGGTCAACCTGTATTTATAATTATGGTGTCTGGCAAAAAAGGCTCGATATTTTCCTGTTTGTTATTTAGATATTATATCTCAATCTCATCTCTCAAACCTACAATTCACATCAGAATATGTCCACTGCAAAAAAACATTAAGGTAAATGTTGTTTGGCCTTCACGCCTCTTCTAACACTAAATTATTATTTAAGTCAAGCAGTGTTTACCTACTCTGTAATAAATTTAGACTTAATAGCTTTTCTAGCAACAAATTTCTAATAAACTTCATTAAACACATTAAATGTTAAAATCAGTTGGCATAATTCTAAAATCTGCTGGAATTAACCTCCATTTGCACATCAATAGTCCATTTATAGGGTAAAAGATTTACAGACATAAAAAAACACTTCTCTAAAAATGTCAGACACCTCTGTCTAAGTGCACTGATTATCTAGATGCAAATTAATGTATTTAATGATGACTCTAGTTCTTCAGGAAAGCGTACAATTTCAGACAGCGTTAATATTAGCATTCAAATAGTTATACTTTGATCTTGTAAATGTGGTTGCAACGTATGCACATCAGATATCCGGGTGGCTTTAAAATAATCTAAAAGAATATCCTTTTTACAGGAATTTAAGCAAGAATTTGAGAGACCATATATAAAATTGACTGACAAAACCCTAAAAAAAAATCCCTTTTTACACTGCAATGAGGAAAAACATTTTTACATATTCATTTACTTCATTAGAAGTTATCTGGATCTTGGCAAATCTAGGCCTACCCATCTAATACTAGGGTGCAAACAAACGTTTACAACTTAAGCTTCTTGGTGCACTGCCAGTCACAATGGAGTGGTCAATCAGTAGATGTTATTGCCAAAACATTTACCAAATTGTAATGGTAAATGTATCTGTACTGGGAAATACCAACATTTGCTATGTTTCAGGATTTTTCTAAACAAGAGGGCCATGATGGCCCTAGATCGCTCATCTGATCCATCAAACTCATCCGAACAATTACCTAGACAAGCATACTGACCAAGTTTGATGATAACTGAGTCAAAAATGTGACCACTAGAGTGTTAACAAGGTTTTTGCCATATTTGGGCTGTGTGACCTAGTTTTTTAACCCAGGTGACCCATAATCAAACTTGATCTAGAAATCATCATAACAAACTTTCAGACCAATTTCAAGGATATTTGGATCAAAACAGTAGCCACTAGAGTGTTAACAATATTTTTCTATTTTAGCTCCTGTGACCTAGTTTTTCATCTTCAAACTCATCAGAGAAATTACCTAGACATGTATCCTGACAAAGTTTGTTGATGATTGAGTCAAGAATGTGACCGCTAGAGTGTTAACAAGGTTTTTCTATTTTTAGCTCCTGTGACCTAGTTTTTCATCTGAGATGACCCATGTTCAAACTCATCCGAGCTATTACCAAGACAAGAATCCTGACAAAGTTTGATGATGATTGAGGCAAAAATGTGACCACTAGAGTGTTAATGAACAAGTGTGGACAGACGACAGACATTCAACGATCCTAAAATCTCACCCTGAGCTAGCTCAGGTGAGCTGAAAAACCTTAGTATTAGCTCCATTTTTATTACAATGACTCTTAGTAAATGGAAATTACATACTATGAATCTGATAGTTTGTTTTAAGTTGCATCAAGTCAATATAGGTCATATGGGGACTTTCAAGCTTTACTGGTGGAGTGAGACGTCAGGTGCCATTCCTTGCATTATTTCAGTTACAAACAAGCACCTGCGTAGAACCATTGACGTTCCCTAAACCAGCTGAATAGACAGGTTATTAGATAACCATGTTTATCATCCATAAAAGTGTCAGAAATATCATTTTACACTTTCTTTCTTAAGTGTTCTAGTCTGTAACTTAAGTGCCCTTTCACTGCAGTGACATCTGCAAATTGTTTTTTACATATTCTTCAATTGTTGAGTGTCAAGTGAATGACCTGTTAAGTCACAGATATCATTTGTTAAAGTAAAACGGAGAAAATTCTATTTCACGCACTCTTTTAAAATGTTTTCCCTTGGGTTTGCAGGGCAATGACTTCATAATATCATTATTCTGCAGAAACGCAACTGTTTCACAGCAAGAGTGAAAAGTACTTTTCATACAACACAAGATGTCAACTGCCTTTATACAAACACAGGAAGAATATATCAATCTTACTTGCAACCAAAAATATAGGAATAAGACAGGAATGTTTCATGTTAAAACAATAAAATATAAGAATTTTACAGCAAATATAAGAACTTTCAACCTTTCAAACCAATAAAATAAAGAAATTAAATTTTCACAGTGAAACAAGGAATGCTCAGAGGACTCTTGGGAAGGTTTAGGCATAAAAAGTGTAGGAAGAAATCTTTAATATATTATTTAAATATCTAATAATCTTTATAATAGTCATGTAAACATGTCACAAAAACCTTGTTAATTAAGTTTTTTTAAAGGTTATTTATAGTGCATAGATAAATTTTTCAGCCAATTTTGATAATAATTAAAATGGGAGGAGTTTCTGCAATATGAGAATTATTCAATTGGCTGACAGTTACCTCTGATACCTAAACTTGCATGAACTTCTATTTTAAGAAAATGCTCTTTAAAACTAGATTATATACAGGAAATTTTAATTTTATACTTACGTGGTCTATCATAGTTTTTACAGTCAATAAAACAGTCGTTCCATTCAGTCCACTCTGTAACAATACATTCACCAGGGCATGGTATTTTACATGGTTGCTCTATCTGAAAATAAATTAACACAAATGAGCTGCTCCATGACAAAACCAACAAAGTGGGTGTGACAACAAAGTGTTTGTGACCAGCATGGATCCAGACCAGCCTGCGCATCTGCAAAGTCTGATCAGGATCCATGCTGTTCTCTATCAGTTTTTCTATTTGTAATTGGGTTTGCAAGCGAACAGAATGGATCCTGATTAGACTGCCAAGGCTGGCCTGGATCCATGCTGGTCGCAAACACACTATGTTGGTTTTGTCATGGCACAGTTCAAATATACAAGCATTAAAATCTGACACAAAAGGAAGTCAGACCCTGAAAGAAATTGGAAACTATTTGTTGACAAGACATGTGATCTTCAAATAAAATAGAAATATAATTCCAAAATACACTTAACTAAGAAAGTGTCTGCGACTATTTTAGGGTATAAAGAAATTAATCATAATTTTTTCATACATCAATATATAACAGATGATACTGATACAATCTTTCAAATATAGAAACCTGCCATAGAAACTGTTATCTGTTTATCCTATATTTAACAATATATAGACACATGACATCAGTTTCAATATTAAAAAAAAAAAAGGAAAAATTAATAATAAATAGAGGATATTGAATGAGTGTTAGTTTAATACTGAATTTATTGAACAAGTTGAATAAAACTATATTTTGCGAGTTTCTGGCAGGCATAATACTATTTTATTCAATAAATTCAGTAATTTATCACACACCAAAATAAAGACCATTTTTCACTGAAGCGCATATTGTATAACGCTTACATTTCGCGCATCTTAACGCTATGTTTATATCATGCAAATGACGTCACATCAAAATATATGCATGGCCTTGCAATACCATTTTTACGTAGTCGCAAAAGCGGCATGGGTATGTGATAAAAGCTCCTATTTTCAGTCCTAAGACAGGTTAAAATCTTTTTTTCAGTTTTTTAAATACTGTAAATGAACTTACAGGAAGTATAATAATATTTAAGTCTGGATCACAGTTTGTTGCATTAACAGGAAGACCGCCATTCGCCTCACATGTTACATTACGTGTCTGTACACCATGACCACATACTCCTTTCTGATTGGTGCATTCTGACCAATCAGAGACAACCCATGTGTAACAACCTTTAACAAAACATGGCTTCCTCTGCTCAAATATGTCCGGGCACTTGCGGCCATTACCTCGTGGTTGTTCTACAATGTCTCGCATACGAATCTGCTGGCCTGAAAACATATGGAACAGTATGAATTTTACACTGTGTATAAACTCTTACAAGGTCAAACTATCTGGAGGTCATACTGAATATAACCTATGACCTTTTTTCTTTGTTGAACTATAACTAATAATTAGCACATAATGTCTTACACATTGTAGTATTTGCTATCTCTGAAATTAAATTATTTTCCAATTAATACTTTAAAGAGCAATCAATATAAGCTAATGGCCTAGTGACAGTGCATGAACATCAGCTACAGACAAAGATTGCTATACTTGATACATTTTGTACTTAGAAAGTAAGATAAGGGTGAAAAAACTAGGTCTTTTTTCACACATAAATGCTTATAAATAGCTATGAAAATTCCAAGAATATGAAGCCTGTCAAGGCATTTTCTTGTTAAGATAATTATAAATAGAAGATAAAATATAGATCAAAATGATCAAGCATTATACTACTCTCATGAAAGGGCATAAACATTAAAATTTTATCCATAGTTAAAAAGCACATCAAGCCTTAGAAATACTTTTTCTTTCTGTAGAAAAGGGCAAACATTGTTTTACAGTTTTAGAACATTTTAGATGCTTATCATCAAAAGTAAATAGCATTGAATGCGTAAAAGTTTCTGATTTCATTTCAATACAAAATACTGTATCACTATAACTGTACTAATTCCAAAACCCTTAACAAAGCAAAAGATGGCTTGGCTATATGGCCCATATGTATCATTTTGGAAACTGTAAAAATCATTTGAAAGATTAAAATATAACCATTTTTTGAGGCTTAATGGAGAGAAAATTTCAGACATGAGCAAATACATATATGACAGTAGGATAAGTGATTATAATTTACTGACAATTTAAGAGGAACTCCATTTTTAGTCAAAGATGTCATTCAAATTGGTATAAAAGTTTCATAATTATAGCATTAAAAAGAGCGTAATTTCAGTCTGAATATCCCTGTGATTCTAGGTCTTGTACTTATCCAAAATTCAAGAGACAGCTTAAAAAAAAACTTGAGTTTTTTTATTCAAAAAGATAAAATTTAAAAATAATTAAATAAAAACTTTTATCAATGACAATAATAATGCAATACCAGTTATCTATATATTATACATGTATTTTAATTTCTAAAATCATTCAATTAAATCCTATGACTGGGGGAGTATAAACTTTAACACTTTTTATTGATCACACTATTGGGAATGGATATGCTCAATATCCTAAACAAATTGTGATTTTCTTTAGTAATAGATTAAGATTGGGTGAAAATAAATACAAACTTTTATTGTACAAGTTACTAAGAAATTTGGACCTGAGAATTTTTGCAATCGGTGAATGAGTCTTTCGATGGAAAAGTCCATGAAATAAACTCAGCAGGAAAACATTTAAACACTTGTTAAGCTATATCCAGACATATATCTTAAGTCAATCATTTTTTAATACCACCACAAATCAATTTGCTCAGTCAGTCTCTCTTGAATTAGCAGTCACGGCTTTATCTCATCATTGACTGGAACTATATCACGATGGCATGACATCATTTTTGAAAATCCTAAGTATCTGACATATAAATGTCAGCTAAAAAACAATTTCCTCCACTTTAATGTAAATATTATTCATGAATGCCATATACTTTACATCAGTCATCATTAAGACCATTACCATCTGTTTTTTTTTTATAACACTAACATGCAATCCCAGTCAGGAAATGGACAAAAGTCCTCCCATTAAGAAATGACAGGGCTGACAAAAGCCCTCACATGATAATGCCCACTCCTTTTCACTGGAGGCTTTTGTCCACCCCGCCTTTTTCATGGGAGGGATTTTTTTCTCGCCCAGTCATTTTTGGATACGGAGGGCTTTTGTCCGCCCAGTCTTTTTTATGGAAGGGATTTTTTTTCGCCCTGTCATTTTTAGATGGGAGGGCTTTTGTCCTACACTCATCCTAGTATTTCATAATACAGTATTATACTGTGACTAAATGACAAAACATGCCCTGTATTGTAACAGCTTTTGTATGTGTTCAAATGTGTGATCATGTGCTTTAGTTGTCATCATTCATTGGCGCAGTTGTATTTGAGAATTAGTTTCATTTGAGAACTTTCGAGAACCGCTGCCGCTTGATAATAAAACGGAATATATTTACTATAAACTATCTAAGTTATAGCCCTTTCCTTTTGTTACGCCTTTTATAACTTGCTTGAAAACATTGATGGCTCGAAATTTTGCCGTTTAATTTAAAGACCGATTCATGAGTCAAAGTCCCAATAAGTCAAGTTTTTAGACAAGTCCTTTCAACTTTGACTTACCAAAGTTCTTCTGTTCTCTTTCAATTATGGTACATTATTATGTCAAGAAGCATAAATGTTCTATCAAATAGATAGCCTTATCTTACCTCATCTAATAAAATGTATACACAATTAACAGAGAGTGACTTATTGATGTAAAAATCTGGATTTTTTTTTAACAAGATAATTCACATTTTACTTTCAAAACAATGTACTTCAAGATTAAATGTAAAAAGTTCATTCACCAGTCATTACACTAGAGATATTTCCAAAGCTTCAAATTGACTGAAATTAATCAAATAACTCTCCTTATTTACAATCAACCAAGAAAATGCTGTTTATTTCACAAATAGAATGGATTGACCTTGATAAATAAACATCTTCATACAAAATAAAGAAAAAAATATGTTGTTTTCATTTTTCTGTCTTATTTGTTGTTGTTTGGTAATATATTAAACAATTTGATTGGTCTGTAATGGGCACAATTTTTCATTAAGTATTTCAAATATTGATAAAAAAGAAACAACAATAGAAATGTATCATTTGGATATTCTTGTAAAATATTTCTTGATTAAAAAATGTTGATAAGATTTCTAATTTAGAATAAACATTTAGATGATGAATAATAATATTTTCATCTAGAACATTTTATTTATTGCTATACATGTATTCAGATATGTAATATCGGATAATGTGTTTCACATTTACCAACATCATTCATATAATTTTTTCAAGGTTTGTTGTCATGTATGATACAAAACACTTTCAATAAAATTATCTACGGATTTTACAGTCCTTTCATTATAGACCGATTCATTTTAAGGTGACACATGGCAACTTCTCAGATAAAAAAAAAACATCCTGGTAACTCTTCATTGTATTACTTCAAGCAACATTCAATTGTTGGCCAGCTGAATAGTTTCCTCACATAAGAAAAAATTCAAGTCTTCAGTTGTGTTTGTCTACTGGGACAAAAATTTAATGTCCTCTTAAATAGGGACAAACTGCGTGAACTGGGACAAAATGTCTTCATAAACTAGTCCAAAATGTCCTCATAAACTAGGACAAAATATCCCCATGAGCTAGGACAAAATGTCCTCATAAACTAGGACATAATGTCCTCATTAACTAGGACAAAATACCCTCATAAACTAGGACAAAATGTCCTCATAATAATTACATACCTAGATTACAGGTGCTGCTACACTGACTCCAGGAAGACCATTCTGTCAACAAACAATCAACATCACATGGTATCTGACATGATACAACCTTCAGTTCTGTGGACTCTCCCAGTGCCTTAAAAAGGTAAGAAACAAAATAAAATTTTGTGTCAAATGCCATTTTAGAAGTTTTGTCAGTCTAAAGATGTATAGTGTGACAAAAAAAGCAAATCTATATATACCCCCACCCCCAAGAAGAGGAGGCTTTAAAATGAACACTCTTAGTGCTTGACGTTTTAGTCATACTCACAGTTTTCGTGCAAAACAGTTATATACCTACAATAATTTACCTAACAAGTCTTCTTTGACTATGTTCCAGTCCAATACAAGCATGCTTATCTGCATGCTTATCTGCAAGTAACTAACAACTTCTCCACTTAAATGAGTGGTGGAAGACTTCATGGTTTGCAATATTTTTCTGTTAAGGAAGCTGTCACACAAAATACATGTGCAACAAGGATTTAAACATGTGAACCCATGGTCAGTTACCCACAGCAAAAGTCATTCATGACAGACGTTAAACAACCAACCAAACAAAACAACCAACCAACCAGCAGATGGGTTAAATCAAATTAATAGGAATCCCTTTTTCTCAAATTCATTGAAGAGTGTCAGGGCCTGAATATAATTGATAGCAATTGCAAAAATATAGAAACTGAAATAAACGATACCTCTTCAGTTACTTAACAATGCTTTAAAATGCATAAAGCTATAACTTATATATATTGATTATGATTGACAATTATTTTTTCCCATTGTTCCTATTCAACTTTTCAAATATTTCAAAGAACACTTTGTTGTTGGTTTTTTTGAAAGGTTTTATTTCCCAATCTTGTTGACAACAACCTTAAAACGTCTCATAACTCAACAGTATAATTTCCAGGCAACAATAAAATATCTGCGTGCGATTTGCAAGTTAATTCTACGCAGAAAAAAGTTTTATTCCTGTCTGAAGACTTTTTATTGCCACCAGAGACGTGAAAAGAATATCGTATTGCATACATATGGGAATATATTGAATAAAATCACAGTGTATGTATTATATCATAAGATAATACATAAGTACAAATCTCACGAGATATGAAAGTAGATTAAGATTTTACGGTTTGTTATTTCACATCTGAGACATCGAGATTTTACTTTACTTCTTCCATCAATACATTGTAAACAGACAATTTTTTTTTTTTATCAATACATTGTAATATTTATATCTACTTTACTGCAACTCTTGAAATATAGTTATTAAGTAATCAAGTGTGTTTTAGACACCATGACTTTCAATGAATGCTACAAAAGTGTGTGGTATTTAAATTTTATGAACTTAGGGCAGGGACGGACTAAGAGAAACCACACTTCATCACATAATACGTTAAACTGATTGATTAAAGTCGACTAGTTCCGATCATAATAATGATCTTCACCAGGACAAAAATTGTTTGAAAAATAACAGTTATTAAGTACTATTAAAGTGGTCACAAAAAGTCATGTGTTACTAAAAAAAAACAATATGTTACTATTTATAACATGAAACTGGAATTTTAAATTTTATAAATAAACATTGACCAATGTCAGGTTATATCATAATTAACCAATGTCACCCTGATCTTCTTTAAAGACTTTTGATCACATCTATTTTTCAAGAGAAAGGGTGTTTTCCATAGCAATGTTAAAGTAATATTATGCTCATATTTTCATTGTCAAGTTGAGCTGAATTTACTTTGGATTTCAAAAGATTGACTATTATAATAGCACTTGCCAACAGCAGCTGATAATATTGGAAAACTTAAGAGTAAAATGTAAATCTGCCTAAAATATTAAAAGACTGCCACACTTTTTCTATAAATTGAAATTTACATTTAAAATCTGGTTAATGTTTATATCAAATTTTCCTGGGCCATGCAAGTTATTAATCGTTCACCAAAATTATCAAATTTAAACTAATTACTGCAAAATATAAACTAATTTTGTCAGTCACCTGTTCATTTACTGCTTACCCTTGAATGGGCATAATGTCACTTTAATATTAAAGAATGACCAATATGTTGATTTGCTTACATGATCATTAAGGTCTGTTATCTATTAATAACTAATAGTAGCAGGCCATAGTAGCAACGCCAAAATACCATAAATCAAGAGGGTGTGATGTTGAATAAAACTTTTTCTTTTACCAAAGATGTAACCTTTAATAAACCTTTTATTTCTACCAACAAAATGCGCCTGGTCACCTTTAATCAACTTTTTTTACAAAAAGGTGTGGCCTTTAATCAACATTTCTTTTATCAATAAGGTGTGACGTTGAATAAACCCCTTTACCAATAGGGTACTCTTTTGTTTCTTACTAAGAAATAAAATAATTTTTTGATTTTGAATTTTTTAAGAATTTAAACATTATCAATAATATTGAGGAAAATATTCACCTCAGTACATTTCTCATCTTCTACAGTTCTGCCTGTTTGATCCTGGCAGACTGGGTACCTCTCTTTATGACCAACTCCACATTCATCCTCCCCATAATTCACCAGACAACTGGTCCAGTCAGTCATCACCCAGATATACTCTACACAGTTGTCTCCCCTTTTACAGAAGTCATCGTCAAGCAGGCGCGGACAGAAATGTATCGGATCATCACTAGGCTGCCGTAAAACCGTGCGATGTCGTCTCCGAGTCTGATTTGGATCTGCACATGGCTGAAAAAAATTGTTCATTATTATTAATCTGGTTTGGATCTGCACATGGCTGACAAAAATTGTCAATTGTTATAAATCTGGTTTAGATCTGCACATGGCTGACAAAATTGTCGATTATTATTAATCTGGTTTGGATCTGCACATGGTTGAGAAAAATTGTCAATTATTATTTTTCTGGTTTGGATCTGCACATGGTTGAGAAAAATTGTTCATTATTATTAATCTGGTTTGGATCTGCACATGGTTGAAAAAAAATTGTCAATTATTATAAGTGTGGTTTGGATCTGCACATGGCTTAGACAATTTATCCATTATTATTAATCTCCATTTCCACAATTAGAACATCAATGTGAATATGTTTCCTGCTTGAGACAACAGCTAATAATAATATGTCCTTAGATTTAAGTACTGACTAGACTTTAAATGCAGCATAATCTGAATGTGTTTCAAATATGACCAAAATATCTTTAAAAATATATAAAGTTTGATCTGATTCTTGGATATTATAATCAGAGTTTGTATTTATCAAATATCTTTTATGCTGGTGTAATTCAATCAGTTAAATTTTACATAATATTTTTTTGCTTAAATTGTCCAAAAAGAAATCACCAAAGTTTGAAATAAATGCATTCAGAAAAGTGATTTTTAATAATTATTTGCATGAGCACTGTTTGCATGAGTGAATAAATCAATACTGTCAAAATTATTTAAATGAAGCAAACTTTACATTTTAAGACTGATTTCTTTACATGTTAGTTAAACTTACTTATATAAAACACCTTAAAGTACCGATTACTGAAAAACTTGCAACTCCTTTAAAAAAAAAAATTGGACCGACTTCCTATATGTGCAGCCCATATTTACTAGTGATAATAAAGTAGAAGAACAACAATCATTATAAAAATGTTCTATTCATTAAAAGTTAACAAAACTAGGCACACCTGTTGGCATCTTGACCATTCTGACCACTCACTGACCACACACTCCCCAGCACATGGTGAGTTACAGAATCTCTGTCTAGGTGGTCTCTCGTGGAAGGCACACATATAATCCTCTAACACTTCATTGATAAACCCATGTGTTGTTAAAACTTCACACCTGAAATAATTCAATTAGTTACAATATTATATTTGATTTTTTGTTTGGTTTGTTTTAATAGAGAAAAATATGGCAAAAAATGTCTCCTAATGCAACTACAATTTCATAACGTCGCTGTGACAACATATTTGTGAGAAAAATTTGGTGCCATGTTTCTGGTAAAATATCAAGGTAAAGACTTGAACATTCAATATTGAAGATAAAAACTTTTTAATGAATAAACATAGAAAAATGGTAGAAAAATATGATTTTACACTTCTAGAATGTGAACTAATGTCCTCTCTTACACTTTTAGACTGTGTACCATTGTTTTACATTTGCACCTTACACTACAAGACTTATACTTTTGGACTGTGTAACATTGTCTTCCCTTTCACTTCAAGGCTGTTAACCATTGTCATACACTTCTTGACTGTGTACCATTGTCTTACCTTACACTTTTAGGCATGAACCATGGCCTTACATTTCTTGTCTTACCTTACACTTTTAGTCAGGGTGCAATTACCTGTTTTAGCTTATACTTCTAGACTGTGAAGCATTGTCTTACCTTACATTTTTAGTCTGTGTAGCATTGTCTTACACTTCTTGACTGTGAAATATTGTCTTACCTAACACTTCTAGACTGTGTACAATTGTCTTACACTTCTAGACTGTGTACCATTGTCTTACCTTACACTTCTAGACTGTGTACAATTGTCTTACCTTACACTTCTAGACTGTGTACAATTGTCTTTCTTTTCTAGACTGTGTACCATTGTTTTACCTTACACTTTTTAATTGTGTACCATTGTCTTAACATACAGTGTTCCATTTTGTTACCTTACTCTTCTATACTATGTACTGTTGTCTTACCTTACACTTTTTAACTGTGTTCCATTGTCTTATCTTACACTTTTAAACCCTGAACCATTGTCTTGTGACCTTTCACCTCTATAAAATGAACAATTGTCTTACCTTACACTTCTAGACTGTGTACCATTGCCACAGATAGCACCATAATCAGGTATACAAGGATCCCACTTGAAGGTACGCCATTTGTTTTTACGACAGTCAGTTTGGCATACACGACTCTGGGTTTCCTGCAAAAGTAAAACACTGTATAGAAATACATAAAAATCATCGAAGCTTTTATTCCAATTTATGTAACTGTTTGAATACGTAGATTCATGTAATCACTTGCAGCAAAAACATATTTGCAGTCATGTCATATTAAAAAAACCTCAGTGGACTCCCTTTAATGACACTTACATGTATATCAATTAATGAAAACAGATTAGTAGATAAATACTTACTTTTCCAGCATTATCCAGAGAGGGACACAGTCTACCTCCATCAGAAGGGTTCTGTTTTATATGTCTGTATCTCATCTGAGTACCAGTCCCACAGGAAGTAGAGCAGTCTGTCCACAGGGACCACTCTGACATAATACAGTCAACTGGGCATGGTATAAGGCACATTTCCTGTTCATATGCTGAAATGGAAATTGTACTTATTGCATCATAATGTATGTATGCAATAATATCATTTCAAACTAATGAAAATAGGAGAACATAATGGCAGGTCATTGCTCATAAAAATTTATCAGAAGATAATCTGAACTTAAGACATAGCTTTTTTTCATTATAAGGCAACCATGCATCAACCCCAGAAATGTCATTTTTCAGGTGTATGAACACGGTTTCTTGATTTGATTGACACTTCTTGGCATTATCAAAATGCACCTATTACCTTTTTTTCTCACATCTATTCAATATTGGTCCTTTATTGTCACTTCTCTAAGATATGAATATATTTAAATATAACAAACTTTTTATTCACCTTGATTTCTTACATTTGGTATTAAGGGATGACTCCTTTGCAATGACTTCCTTGCAAATTAAATTTACTTGTTTTATTATATATTATTGGACCATCATTTGCTATGATGCAAGAGTGGGGAATCATGGAATACAATTTTATTAAGACCTTACGTTTAAGTGAGCATTTATTTGCAGCTTCTACCTCGCCAATCTCATTCTGGCAGGCCAGAACCTTGTATCTCTGTCCAGGACCGCAGATCGCATTCACACCGTAACTACCTGATAATCGAGGAAGTGGAGTAACGCCTTCAGTTCTTTCACCTGAAATATGTAGCATTACTGTTTACTTCCATTTCTTCAGTACCGTATTCTGATAAAAACTCTAAACTCAGTTTCATTTGATTTATACAAAATCTATTTTAGTTCGATTGTGTAGGAAGCTATGAGCTTACACAAACACTTTTGAATCCGTTCCTGGAACCAACCTGTACTGAGCAATGAGTGTTAAGTTTCTTGCTCAAGGAAACAACAACTTGCCCCTGAAGGGGTTTGAACCCATACGGCTAGCGATCATTAGATTACTAGTTCAACCTGTTAACTACTCAGCCATGCCATCACGTTTCATTTAAATGATCTTAACTTTCTCATGTGATCAATTTGATTTTCAAGTTTTTGTTTTTTTATCAAATACAGGAGAGGAAATCCAAATCAATCAAACAAGAATATATTAACTTTGTGGGTTTTGAATAATTAGATATATCACCAAAGTACCTACAAAAGTACTTTTAAAGAACAAAAGGCCAAAGATTAGACAGCTACATGGATTGCATCTGTCATGTTTTTATTTATGAACCATATAGCTCTAGACTGAGCATATCTTTTTATTCATGAACCATACAGTTCTAGATTGAGCGTATCTTTATAGTTTATTCAATCTTTACCTTGGAATGTCCTAGTCCGGTAGTATGTCTCGCCTTCATCAAGAACACATTCAGACCAATTACCAATGGCAACAGGCTGGTGTGTATCACATAAACATTCCTCAAAAGAGTCAAGGGGGTAGAAGCGGGTGTCCTGGCAGTGTAGTTTGGTTACTATTCTAGGATCTTCTGCAATAATACAACAATTTTCAAATTTTCAATTTCACATATATTAAATACTTCATTTGTAAGTTTATATCACTTTATTATGTACTACCCATCTGTACTAAAAAACATTAATTTACACAGAAACAAAAATATATATACAAGAGTGGCAACTCAAAATGGTGGGGAAAGTATCAAGGGCTATAACTCAAAATGGTGAAGAAAGTATCATGGGTTATAACTCGAAATGGTGGAGAAAGTATCAAGGGCTACAACTCAAAAAATGGTTGAGAGAATCAAGAGCTATAACTCAGAAAAAAAGGAGAAAGTGAAAACAAAACATACCAATGAATGTTATAATATAATCTTATCAAAACCAGCTTGATAAATACATGTCTGGGTGTATTTTATTTTCTCTTTGCTTGTATATCAATACTATAATTCAATTTTCCTATATCTGAATACATATCACCGGGGAACAAATACAATTTTCCCATGCATGAATCAAGCGTAAATGTTGACTGTAATGAGATCACTACATTTTCGGTAATGCATTTACCCCAGTAATGTATTTACCCCACCCAGACACATCTATCAGGACTGGTTATGTAAGTGTGTTTGAAAAAAGTATGTCACACCCTGAAGCTGAAATAATGAGATTCTAGGATGGAGATGCTGGCAGCAGTAACAGGACATCAGAATATCTTATTTTAATTAATCAGTCATGAAATTAAATCTATTTTTAGTTCACATAATTCATGGTTACATAACAGCTATCTATTTTTACTGACATTTAGAAAGACTAGTTCATAGTTTAGGCTTTCTTGAGACCCAACAGCACTTGTTTAAATTTAGTTACATAGCTAATTAAAGAAATAAAGTAGGCTTTCAGCAAAAAACTTCTTTTAAAAAAAATTTGCAAATCCAATTCCCCTGTCAAAATAAATTACAAATAATATATGGGATAAAGCATTCATTATTAATTTTAACAAACTCAATAGAAACAAATATATATACCTCAATTGAAACCAAAATGTATTGTGTTTTATTCCAAAGCAAACACAATTCAGCTTTATTTGTCAAGAAACACGTCATCAAAATAATTAAATTGATTGAAACAGACAGAAAAGTGATAAATATGTATATGAGAGAAGTAGTATGAATATGTTAACCAACATTCTCAAGACATTTTACTAACCATCTTTAATTTCTTAATCTTAAATATGCTTTCAGAAATTAAACACTTACCTTGCTTGAACTTTAAGTAATTAGTTTTTTTACAAAAGTTATAGAGCAAGGTTGTGCAGTCTACCAGGTTCTTATCATGTTGGTTGCTCAATTTTTGTACTTGATACTGAACTCCCTTTAAACTTCAAATGGACTGTTCCAAATACAAAGCAGGGGAAATCTGTTATACAAAATTACTGTATAAAGGACTAAAATCTATTTGGTCTCCTTATCCAAAATCTTTTCTTCCACATCATTTAATGTTTTTCTTCTCCAAATCATAAATGCATAGTAAGGTAATACAAAGAGTTTTCTACAGAAAATATCAAAATGTCACAAACCAATAAGTTTCCTTGTTCTAAATCTTTTGCCATTACACCCATTAACACACTGGCTCCATTCTGACCACTCCTCAAACACACATTCTTCATTACAAGATTTGTAACATGGTTTGGCAATTTTGGGTAATGGACCAATGTGTCGTATACAAACGTCAATAGGCTGGAGCGTGCCATTCTCTATTCTACATGACACATCTGTAATGGAAAATTAACAAGTGTATTTAAAGTTGATGTTTAGTCTTTTTTTGGTACAAAGAAGCAAAATTCTTCAATAATTAAAAAAGTCCCAGGAACTACTTTGTAACAGTAAACATAATATAAAACAAACTTCTTGTTTTCTAACTTTGTTAAATAAACAAAGTTCTCACCTTGACAACTTCTAAGTTTTGCAAGAGTTTTGGCACTGATGGCCTTTATCCTTACATAGATGATACCTCTAAATTTGATGACTTCAAAAATTTCATATAGAACTTATGACTGACTTTAACAGCCTTATTCTATACAAGATATAGTTCCTTCAGCTTCTACATAAAACCACACCTCTGACAGTTACTGAGAAACATTAATACACAAAACAAAGCCCTGGTCTTTCTTGCAAACTCAGTATACCTCTGGCTATGACAGCATAATTCTTGAACAAAGGATAAGAACATACCTCTAGCTTGTAAACCTTGACCACATTGAGGTATTTTATGAGGCGGAAGGGCACATCTGCTCCATGTACCAAGATCCCAGTAATAACCTTCGCAGAATGTTAGATTGTTACAATGTTTGACCTCTGTCAGTACATTAGGGCACGGTGCTCCTCCATGTCTTGGCTCTTGGACAATATGGCGTACTCTGGTCTGTCTTGGTAAAATCTGAGTGGCTAAAACAATTATAAGTCATAGTACATATTACTATTTCTTTTATCATGAATTATTTTCAAAATAAAATGTTTGACAACTGTTCAATCAAGATGTTAATTAATGTTCATTATGTCTAAATAAACTACTGAATTATTTTACAATGAAAATTACAATATATTTACAAAGTGACATTAATAAATTTTAAATTCATTCATTCCCCTTAGTTTACTCAAGATAATACAACAGAACAATGAACATCTTGTGCAACAACTCTTTATTAAATAACCAGAACAGAACAGAAATTAAGTGAACTCAAGAATACACAATAAAATCATTATGTCTATATTATCAAAGTTATCTGAACTTATCTGAACATAAATTTTCTGTCATAATTTTATCCCCCTTTACAAAATAATATTTGTTTCTATTAGTGATTTAGAAAAGAATTCTGTAATTGTATTATAAATTGTTGAAGCTAAACATGTGGTCAAATGACTGACTGCCATCCAATTATACTATGTCCCAAACTTCATTATAATGATCAAGGGTCTTGGTTGATAAAAGCTCCGTAACCCCACCCAACTCACATTTCATTGGTCATAAAAATATGAGAAAAGAACAAGTGTAGTATCTGTAACAACTCTTGTTCATTGTTTCAGGCAAAGTACAAATAAACAAAGTCATGTGGATGCTTGGGCTGCCTAAGAAAAAATTTGAGTCACACCTTTTTTAAGTTAGTTGATCAATCAGGTATAAAACCTTCAAACTCAATTAACTCAAATTTGAAGATGTGATAAAAACACTGTTGAACTGAGAAACTTACACAAACCCAATATTATTTTATTCAAGAAATGAGACAGAATTATTTTGTAGTCAACTAGGTTCGCTAGAAATGACATTATATTCACAGGTATTGAATACCTGAATATATATTTAACATGGCTCCATTAAATGCAGAATATTAAGGCAATAAACAGACCTTTTCTCAATTTTATTCCCCTTCTTTTAGTTCATAACCAGTATTTTACAAAATAATATTTGTTTTTATTATAAGTGAAAAAAAATCTGTAAATTAATATATCAAGGTTTAAATAGGGTGACAGTGTAGTTTTACCCTACAAAATTAGTTTTTTAACCTTTTACCCCATGAGCATATTGCGAAAAATGGCCGTTTTCATTGAAAAGCCTCCTGTAACAAGTTCAAACTGCTATGAAACTATGAAAAATGCTTCAATACTGATGAAACTTGGCACAAATGTTGACTACACCATAGCCTCTGTAACAGCATGCTCAATCGTAAATTTCCTGTTACCATGGCAACGGGGGGACGTCTCAAAATTGCCAAAAATCACTATTTTGCATTGTTTTTTTCCATCAAAACTGATTTCAAAGTGCTGCAACTTCTCAATGAATTGAGATAGAGTAAAAGGCTTTTCAGCGTCGGTTACTAGTTACCCTAAGATCGACCTGAGGCCATTTTTAGCTTGTCACATGTCCAAAACTTTCTTGGCGATGAGGGGGACTCCGCCCCCCTTCAAACCCCCCAAACAGAAGGGGGCACATCCCCCTTCTGGCAACCCCCTGATGTAACATTTAGATGGGGGACGGCGCTGAAAAAGTGGTCACTTTTTTTAACAACATTTCTCAAATGAAAACCAGTGTTTGGGGCCTAAATTAGGCACTTTTTCACTGTTTGAGGCCTCAAAAAGGGGGGGGGGGGATGGGGGCAAAAAGCCGTCGAAACACGCTTATATGAGGGAAAAGGTTAAAGTGAGTATGATATATACTTGTAAAATATGACATAAAACATGTAAAATAAGGGAAAATTGTCCGCTATTCAACAAAGGAAAATAACAAAAGAAATGAACTCTGAAAAAAAAATTTATACAGTCGAGACTGCCTTAGCGACCCCCTGGTTTAAACGACTCCCTGCCTTATCCGACCTTGTTTCAGTACTCCCAACGTATTTTCCTCTATAAATGGTCTGAATTAAACGACTCCCTGTCATATGTGACAAGCGACCTTAATTGTCTGGTCCCAATGCAATGTTTTGTCTGATTTAAACGACTTTCACACCTTTTAATTATCCGTTAATCAGATAAAGAATACCTATTTTAACACCCAGAGGGCCAAAATAATTAAGTCCAATTATAATCCAGCACTGTAGCAAACAAAGTCTACACACCTCTATCTCAATTACACAATTAGCGTGTATATACCGGTAGATACATGCAGGTACCAAGTGACGTAGCGTCTGTTCATGGAAAGCATGATGAAATCGATGTGTGTGTAATGTACAAAATGGCCTGAATACTTGTGTTAGATTTTTTTTTAATTTTAGAGTGCCCACGGAAGATTTTTTAGGAAGCATTTTTTTAATTTACCTTTCTATGGCTGCATAATTAATACGGAAAAAATAAAATATTGATACCGAACCAGAAACAGCTTTGGATATGGCAATTGTTTAAAGATCCTGTGACACAATTTTTTTATGGTTTTATTTCATAAATATGATGCTCAAATTAAGATTTGTCAATATTGTAAGTTCAAATAAACATTATTTATAAAGATATCACCCAATTTAACATTTCATGTAAATAAAGGCCATTAAAGGGAGGTAATTAGAACTTTATTTTCTATAAATTCTAAGTCAAATTTTCCAATAATAAATCAATGCATGTAATTTATTGATTAAATTTAATGTGAACAAATATTTGCAATACACATTTTACATATTCTTTGATGTTTGAAAATTGTTTTATTTGCATAATTATATCCATATATATTTTTTTGCAAGATACGTAAACACAGTAACAATATCAATCACAAAACATACAGGATCTGTAAGTCACATTGGTATATAGACAGATAGATGATATTTAAATTTAATTTTCTTTGAGACTGTATTTAGAGACTCCCTGTCATATGCGACCTTTTTCTGAAGATCCCTTGGAAAGTCACATATGACAGTCTCGACTGTATATGAGAACAACATATTTCTGAACTGCACAGAGACAAAAAAATGTGTTCAAGTTTACTGACCTCTATCTATGTTTGTGCACTGAACTCTCCCTGATTTTAACTTTGAGATGTCTATATTAACTTGTTTTTTTTAATGACAACATTAGCATTTGATAGTTATTTTTAAAACAATAAAAGGACCATTATTCCATTTAGTTTAACACTGAAAATACCAGGTATCAAACTTTTAAGAGACAATATTTGTGTGTGTTGAAGAAAGAGTGATGAAATTTATCTAGAGTGAACAACTTATAAACAATGAAGTCAGTATCCTCAATTTAATAATGTCTCCATAAACAGAAAAACAACACAACAATTCAAAGACAACAACCGAAAATAACAAAATACGAAAGCTCTTACCCTAGTTGTTAAGATTAATTTATATTAATGTCTATTTCAAGACAGAATTTGAACAATATAAATGGTAGAAAATTCAATGTGGTAAACAAGCTTTAAAACATTAAACTCCAAAAGGGTGTTACTTTTCATAAACAATTTATGTTAAAATAGGTCAAAAAAAAAATTAAAACAAGAAATATGGCAATGTCATGAAAGCAGATTTTGAACAATAGCAATTGGAACCCTGGACTTTTTCTTATTAACAAGAATGCATAAATGGATGAAGGTCATTAAAATGCTGAAGACACATCTGAATTACTCAATATTACGCTTGATCTGTTTCAGTTTGTACAAATCCATTAATATATCACTAAGCTTTATAATATGATCAAGGTCATTAAAGATTCAGGGTCATAATCACTTGTATGTTGTTCAAAATTTGTCCAAGTATTTGTCCTCAAAATTGAAAGATATATGACTTTGACATTCAATCATTTTCAGGTTATATATCCATTATTTCACATGTTGGTTCTCTCTTATAATGACAAGACATGAACTAATTTTCAAGATTAATGTTCCATTTAATGAAGGTCTACGCCAGTAACTAGTGATCTAAAGTTGTGATCATTTGCTAACTCCTTTTTCTAGTAATATTAAAGTGAAAAATAACCTAAATTGAAAAGCGTTGAAATACTGTTTACTCAAATGAGGCTAAGAAAACACAAGCATACCAGTTACAATTCATTTCTAAGTATATTTCTTAATCATATTGCACATATATTTCTGTTTTAAGTGCCCCAATTGATATTTGTAAGAAATTCAAATATATTTTTTGGCTTTTGGACCTCAGTGGAGTTCCTTTAAAACTTTTATATTTCAAGATAAAATAAAGTTTTGCCTAAAATATAGGGCCAGCATTTCATAAATTCTGTATTTAATTAGGCAATGTCTTAATTAATCATATTAGCTATCTTAAACTCTTTTTTATGTTAAATTTCAAACATTTATGCATTTTCATGTATTATACTGAGTATTTATCAAGTTTGAAATTATTCTAAACCACTGAAAGTAAACAAGAAACAGTTTCTTTGTTGGAAATATTGAACTAAAGTGATACTTGTTTGGTACATTTATGCATTAAATGTTTTTACAATACCTTCAAAACAAGAGGCGCTGCATTCAGACCAATCCGAGTATTCAGTGACCTCACAGTTGATAGGGCATGGCACTTCACAGGACTCCTCCGTGGATGGTTTTACCTTTAATGTACATCTGTAAGATAAAAGAGTATATCTGTACATTTTTTGTATAATAAAGTGCTATAAAAATATCCCATCACATATACATCTGTAAATAAAGAGTTAAATGCAGTAACAATACCCTAACACATGTACATAATTATGCAAATAAAAGTACATTTAAGCAAATGTACATCTATAGTAAAGTACAGTTTAACAGATTTGCACCTGCTAATAAAAGATGACAGTTAAACACATGTACATCTGCAATTGATAAAGTAATGTGAAGGGCATCATTTAGTAAATGTACACATATATAAAAGTAATAAAGTACAATAAATTTTGGATATGTTACAAATATGTTCATCTGTAAATAAAGGAGTACAATTAAATTGGGATATGTTAAGTTAACGTAAACCTGTAAATATTATCAGGATACATTGAATATATATGGGTTAACTTCTACTGAGGAGCATTCTAAGCTCCCTGTAAAGAAAGTCAATGTTATGTCTATATTTATCTACCTGATGTCATTGACCATTTGACCAAGTAGACTGTAACAGCCAACATCCCTCTTCCTTTTACCTGGCCCACACGGGACACCATTCTCCCTAGAGACACACATACCCCAGGGGTCACTTTGCCACACGTATACAGCACACTCTATGGTTGTAGGACATGTCTTTATCTCCTGGAGTTCTCTGCTAAGTGGACACATCTTTCCACCTGTTGGCAAATTTTCTTGTATAAGTATAGATAACTCTTGTGAGAATAAAGCAATTTAGCATGTAGGAGTTACTTCCCTTACATCAAAAAGCTCACACATGATTTTAGCAATAATTTTTTAGATACTCAAGAAACTACAAAACATGCATTATTTTTTGCAGTTATCAATAATTTCCACAAAATATGATAAAGATTTGTAAAGTACAGAGATATCAACATTCAAGCTGCTAAAAAGCCCACCTCCCGGCACAAGGGGAGCAAATATAGGACAAACAAACCTCTACCAGACTGAGCTAGAATCATTCTCTCCCTTGTTTGTATGGGCGCGTCTCTGTCCCGTCCCTCCTGACATAAATTAGGGCACTGTGACCATGGACTCCAATGTGATACAATACAATCCCCAGGACACGGAACACTGCAGTCCTCTTTCTGTGCAGGTTTTTCACTTAGTTCCTCACACTTTGTGTCGGCTACCCGTAACTGTAAACACAAAAATGTATAAATGTACATGATTGTATAAGTTTTCTATAACTATATATTCAGCATTTTACAATTTACCTCACTGTTAAAGTCACAGATGACCTCTTTCTGAAAATGTCCACACTTGAGCCTGCATTTCTTAGCCTTAAATGTGCTTAAATTATACCAAATTTAGAGTTTTAAGGTTGCTTAGGATAAAGAAACCAGTTAGATATGCAGGCTGCATGAACTCTACGCTAATGGCATAAACAAGTTATTCTATTCCTGCTAACATTCCTAGCACTAGAAAAAGCCATATCAAACAACATATGGCATTTAAAACGACATTTCCTCTTGTGCCATATATTGCCATCTTTATTGAATTTATAGGACAAAATCGAAAAGTGACTCCCATAAATCCTCAATGAATAGATGCTTTCCTGACAGATAAAGTAACAAAAGATGTTATTTTACACATTCATCAAAGTTTTGTGTGTATATACAATTGTATAACAGTAGACAGTATATATTGATGTGCATTAAACATGAAATGTCAACTATAGATAAAAGACAGAAGAGCATTTTGATATCTGGATCAATGCAATGTCTTTTCTTGTCTTAAAATTCATTGAATGAGTAGTTTGCCTTACATAAAACACTTATCTTTAGGGTGTTATATAATATCTGTCCCTGTAAAAATTTTATTACTACTTATATAAGTTTATTACACTTGCCAAATACATCACTTTACAGTAGATACAAAATATATCTGTGATATCTGATGATGGTTCACACTGTTCACTATTCAGTCAACCCAAAGCAGTGAGGGTAAAAAACCTAAACCACTTGACCATGGACGCCCCTACATTGTCTAAATAGCAAACAGTGTAGACCATGATCAGACTGCACTGGTCACATGGATAGAATTTGCCGCCAACAGCAGTTTAAATGCTTGCAGGTTATTTTTTTCACAGGTTGGGGAAGCAACCCATTCAAAGAATTTTTCTTTGGGGAAGCCGCCCTATCATAGCCCCTGCTATAGAAGGAAAAAAAGGCCTTGGTTGTAACTTAAACTGCATTTTCTAGTTCAATACCTTTCTTTTTAGTTTTTAAATTCATGTTTTTGTGTTGCACTGTATAATGCTATGAAGATGTATTCTTACTCCGATTTTATTTACACAGGAAATGGTTCTGTAAGCAGTGCCAAGACCACATGGTGGTGATGTGTTGATATTCAGTAACTGGCAGGCTCCAACTGTCATATTCCAGTGGAAACATGGCTGGGGGTCACAAGTTTGAGTCTCACTAAGGTGTGGGCACATGTTACCTTTACCTCTCACCTCTGTCAGAATGTTCCTTGTTCTATACCTCTGACCTGAAAATTATTTACAAAACATCAAGAAATTTCTCCTTCAAATATTACTGGCTAAAAGATTTGTCATCACTCGTCAGAATTATTTTTCCCAAAAGTACAGTCTTGACAAACAACAAAACTGAAGTACTGCTTTTTATGAATATTCATTTTGGACTCAGCAAACTTCTTAACAATGCTATGATTAAAATGGTACAAGAGGTGAGGTGGCCTAAGTAAGACTGTCTCTCAATCCAGGAGACCATGGGTTCAAGATCTACATTTGTTATGATTATGTTTTTCAATATGACATCAGTACTACATGGACTTTTAGGAAGCAGACTTGAGACTGGTTTAAAAAAGCTTCACACTTCAATTTTTCCCCACCATACACAATACAAGATACAAAATGTAAACAAAGCAGTATTTTGACTTCCATACGAAATACTAATTGCCTAAAAACAAAAGCAATAGATAATTTAGGTAATTGGCCTGTGAGAAAGTTTAAAGGAACTTTAACAGGACACAAAGAAAGCAGAGCTTTTGAGAAATAAAAATAAATGCATTTCTGGGGCACAATGGGCCTTTAATAGTAACATATTTTGAATATTAATGTAACTGAGAATTGCTTTAAATATGATGGTCAAATCTAAATAATAGCGCCAAATGCTAAAGGCTAAATGGATTAAACATACCTGTACCCTCATTAGTTCTTCTACGCCTGAGATAGAGTTCACAGTCCGTGACCTTGCACTCTGTCCAGTGGGTCCAATGAGAAACAGTGCAGTCAAGGTCACATTCTGCTCGACAAGTTTGTGAGGTCAAAGGTCGTTTATCTTTACAATAGCCATCAGGTACTGGCTTTTCTCTCCCATTATCTATCAATAACAAAACAATTATTTACAAATTGCAAGTACAATGTATTTTGAAAATAATAGATTTGTACATATCATATAATTATATGAACAGAACTAAAACTTTGGTTGGTTTTGACGCTAAAAACCTTTGCAATAACCATGGTATTAAAGTTCAATTTTAAAGCAGGAGAAGTTCAAAATACAATTTTCAGGGTTCCCACAAAGAAGAGAAATCAAAATTCCCTGACTTTTCCATGACTTTTCCCTGACCAAGACCATTTTTCCCTGACCAATAATAGCGTCAAGTTTTCACAATCTTTCGAGCATTAAACATATTTTTTTTTGTATGCTGGCCTCCTCTTCCCTATTTTCCTCCCTTTCTTTATTTAAAATTATTTCAGATACACAATACATATATATGAATATATGCAACAATTGTCTTTAGCTACTTGTGTAGTTTAATTTCAATTAGCATGAGTACATTTATCTAAAATGAAAAGTATTTGATAACATATGTCATGCTCAAATATGTTTCATTCTCGAACATATAAAGCAGTGTCATCAAATTTTTGAGATACTAACTACCATAGCTAGTTTAGTGTAATTCCTGCTATATACTAGTATTATTAGCTTTGCCTACATTTTGCTTTTCATGAAGCCACTTCATTACTTGTCATGTTTTTTCTTGTTAAAACAAGTTTTCAATTGATAACTAACATTTATTCAAGTAAAATGCATGCCTATTTCTGTCAATCCTCCATTGATTACACTGCTTTGTATGGGGAGGGGCCAAAATATAAAAGATTGCATTTGTAAGTAAATGTTATGCCACTGCATCAATGTTACAGAAGTAGATTTTTTTTTGTTCTATATAACTGAACTTTACCATATGCAGTTGTGTCTAGTGGATTTCAGGGTCAAGGTCATATTTCAGCATGACATATGAAAATAAATGTGCAGACATGTCTAAATGTTAAGATACAAAGGCCATATATAGTGCAATAACTGATTGGTGTTTACTGTATTACATTGCTGTTTTAAACTTTGAAATACAGTTACATTTTTTTTCTTAATTTTTTCTTAAATGCTATCTTTTTAATTAAGCATTACCTATTTCTTATAAATTAAGATTTAAAAGAAGATTTTTTAATATTTTTACTAAATGTAAATAATGAAAATCAATGAATCAGCGAATATTGACCCCTCGGCTATAATTTTAACAATCCTGGTATAGGTCTATTACACAAATTTTCATGCTAATCTATAGCCTTTGACAATTGAGAGAAGATTTTTTTTAAATTTTTACTAAATGTATCAATATATAAGGAAAAATTATGACCCCTTAGGCTGGCCAATTTTGATGCTATGGGCAAAATTTGAGCAACTTTGGTAGAGGACCTATAGATGATATAATATACAAAATATCAAAGCCCTATTCCTTGTACCTTCAGACAGTAAGATATTCTAAGTTTTTACTATATGTGCAAAATGAAAATCAAGGACCCCAAGCATGGGTCAATTGTTAGAGGTCCAATAGACGATGCCTTTGCAAAATATCTAAGCTCTTGGCCTGGTTGGTCTTTAGAAGAAGTTTTTTTTTTAAATCTTTTTTTTCTTATAATTTCTTTTTGTTGCCATGAAAACCAGTTTCTTGCAAGGAATAAAATTATTTTAACAAATTTGGAAGCCCTTTACCAAAGGAACAATCCTGCCAAGTTTGGATAAATTTAGACTAACAATTTAGAAGATTTTTTACTTCACTATTAAGTTAAAGTTACTTTAAATGACAAAATATTTCAAAATTTTTTTGAAATAAGCATATTTTTTAGAGTAAGATATTTACAAGAATAAAAAAGATGCTCATAATGATAAATAAATATAAAGATACCTAAAATAATCAAAGAAACTGCCTTAGCCTTGACTGAATTTGCTTCCTACAGTTTGACCACCATTTTTCTCTTACAAAATTCCCTGACTTTTGCTTATTTTTCAAATTTCCCTGACTAATTTCAGAATTCCCTGACTTTTCCCTGACCTTGAAAAAAAATCAGTTTTCCCTGACTTTTCCCTGACCGTGGGAACCCTGATTTTCAAGGAATGAGGTTTAACTCAATATAGCTTTATGACAGTTATATTGTACTCCCTTAATGCTAAATTGGTTTCTGTGACTTTCCTTTGTAATTTATCAGCCATATAAAGACAATAATATAACCAGACTAATGCCCATCTACTGGACAAGCCTGACAACTGTTATTGGCAAATTGTTCAAAAATAGAAACAAAAAATGTCAAAAAAAATCTAACCAATGGGCATGTGTTTCTGTAAAAAGAAACTTGACCTTTTAAAATTAGTTTTGGCCTTTGGCTATAACCGGATATACTTACATATACAACAATTTAATGTCTTAAATATACATCTTGAAGGTAACTGTAAATGTCAAGTTTTAGCAATATTAATCTTAAAGTATCATATTCAATAATATACTATTTTTAATTTTAGGTAAAATACTTTTAATTTAAGAAATTAATTGAATACAGAATATGTCTAATTTGAGTAAAGGAAAGCACAAAGTATGTTCAGGAAGCTGCTTTTCCCTTTTACTGATAAAGTTAATTTGATCCTTTCTTAAACTAGAAATGTGTCATCATGCCACGGATGCCCCCGCATGCAGCCAAAATTTCAGATGGTGCATTAATTATTTTTTTCATTTTAAGTTCAAAAGCCCTTAAAACTTTTTAATGTTAACAAAAACCATTTTCATACAATGTTCAAGGCACTGAAATTATTCAGTCTTAACCTTTTAAAAATAGCATATTGCATATTTGTAGCCAAAATAATGGCTAAAAGTATGAGTGCTGAAACTGAAAGTTCAAAATTTTTCCAACATTCAGGAAAAATAAGTTTGTCTAAAATCATTGAACCACGACCAAATTCAAACTTAAACTGCTTATTCCTAAGATGTATCTATATTATTTTCAAAGTGAAAGGGACATAACTCTGCCAAAAAATCATCAAACCATGACCAAATTCCAACTTGTCCTGCCCATTCCTTTGACATTATCTATATGTCAAATTAAGTTGAATATGTAACACTGTTGGGTAGATAATGAACAGAAACTGTAAATTTCATATTATTTTCAAAGTGAAAGGGGCATTACTATGCCAAAAATCATTGAACCATGACCAAATTCAAACTTGACCTGGGGATTCCAAAAACATATCCATATGTCAAATTTGAGTTGAATGTGTTGTACCATTGGTGAGATAATAAACGGAAACTGAAAATTTCATATTACTTTCAAAGTGAAAGGGGCATAACTCTGCCAAAAATCATTGAACCATGACCAAATTTGAACTTGACCTGCGCATTTCTTTGACGCATCCATATGTAAAGTTTGAGTTGAATGTGTTGTACCTTTGGGGAGATAATGAACGGAAACTGAAAATTTCATATTATTTTCAAAGTAAAGAGGCATAACTCTGCCAAAAATCATCGAACCATGACCAAATTCGAACTTGACCTGTATTTTCTCATGACATATCCATATGTCAAATTTGAGTTGAATGTTCTTAAGATAATGAACGGAAACTGATGATGAGGGAATGACGGAAGGATGGAAGGACGGAACAGGGTAACACTATATGCCCCGGCCATTACATGGCGGGGGCATAAAAATCTCCCAGCTTGTTATTCAAATGACATTATGAGGGGGCAAGAACGATATCAGTCAATTTAGAATTTGAAGGGAGCACCAATGCTGTCGGTCAATTTAGAATATTAAGGGGGAAACAATGCTGTCAGTCCATTTAGAATTTTAAGGGGGCAACAATGCTGTCAGTCAATTTATAATTTTGAGGGGGCAATAATGCTGTCAGCCAATTAAGAATTTTGAGGAAGCAACAATGTTGTTTATGTGGGCAAGGATGCTGTTTTTTCGGTGGCAACAATGCCATCATTTAATTAAGAATTTTGAGAGGGCAACAATGCTGTCAGCCAATTTAGATTTTGAGGAAGCAACAACGTTGTTTATGTGGGCAACGATGCTGTTTGAGGTGGCAACAATGCCATCATTCAATTTAGAATTTGAAGGGGGCAACAATGCTGTCGGTCAATTTAGAATTTTAAGGGGGCAACAATGCTGTCAGTCCATTTAGAATTTTAAGGGGGCAACAATGCTTTCAGTCAATTTATAATTTTGAAGGGGCAATAATGCTGTCAAACAATTTAGAAAATTTAAGGGGGGAATTCTGCTGTCAGTAAATTTAGAATTTTGAGGGGGGGGGGGGACAATGCTGTCAGCCAATTTAGAATTTTGAAGGGACAACAATGCTGACAGCCAATTTAGAATTTTAAGAGGGCAACAATGCTATCAGCCAATTTAGAATTTTGAGGAAGCAACAATTTTGTTTATGTGGGCAACGATGCTATTTGACGTGGCAACAATACCATCATTCAATTTAGAATTTTGAGGGGCAACAATGCTGTCAGCCAATTTAGAACTTTGAGGAAGCAAAAATGTTGTTCATGTGGGCAACAATGCTGTTTGAGGTGGCAACAATGCCATCATTCAATTTAGAATTTTGAGGGGGCAACAATGCTGACAGCAAATTTAGAATTTATAGAGGGCAACAATGCTGTCAGCCAATTTAGAATTTTGAGGAAGCAACAATTTTGTTTATGTGGGCAACGATGCTGTTTGAGGTGGCAACAATACTATCATTCAATTTAGAATTTTGAGGGGGCAACAATGCTGTCAGCCAATTTACAATTTTGAGGAAGCAACAATGTTGTTTATGTGGGCAACAATGCTGTTTGAGGTGGCAACAATGCCATCATTCAATTTAGAATTTGAAGGTGTCAACAATGCTGCGGTAAATTCAGAATTTTAAGGGGGCAACAATGCTGTCAGTCCATTTAGAATTTTAAGGGGGCAACAATGCTGTCAGTCAATTTATAATTTTGAGGGGGCAATAATGCTGTCAAACAATTTAGAAATTTTAAGAGAGGAATTCAGCTGTCAGTTAATTTAGAATTTTGAGTGGGGGGGACACAATGCTGTCAGCCAATTTAGTATTATGAAGGGGCAACAATGCTGACTGCCAATTTATAATTTTGAGGGGGGCAACAATGCTGACAGCCAATTTAGAATTTATAGAGGGCAACAATGCTGTCAGCCAATTTAGAATTTTGAGGAAGCAACAATTTTGTTTACGTGGGCAATGATGCTGTTTGAGGTGGCAACAATACTATCATTCAATTTAGAATTTTGAGGGGGCAACAATGCTGTCAGCCAATTTATAATTTTGAGGAAGCAACAATGTTGTTTATGTAGGCAATGATGCTGTTTGAGGTGGCAACAATGCCATCATTTAATTTAGAATTTTGAGAGGGCAACAATGCTGTCAGCCAATTTAGAATTTTGAGGAAGCAACAATTTTGTTCATGTTGGCAACAATGCTGTTTGAGGTGGCAACAATGCCATCATTTAATTTAAAATTTTGAGGGGGGCAAATATGATGTCAAACAATTTAGAAATTTTGAGAGGGCAACAATGTTGTCAGTTAGTTTATAATTTTGAGGGGGAAACAATGTTGTCAGTCAATTTATAATTTTGAGGGGGCAACAATGCTGTCAAACAATTTAGAAATTTTAAGGGGGGAATTCTGCTGTCAATAAATTTAGAATTTTGAGGGGGAGGGGGACAATGCTGTCAGTCAATTTTGAATTTTGAGGGGGGCAACAATGCTGACAGCCAATTTAGAATTTTGAGAGGGCAACAATGCTGTCAGCAAATTAAGAATATTGAGGGAGCAACAATGCTGTTTTAGGGGACAACAATGCTGTCAGTCAATTTAGAATTTTGAAAAGATAACTAAAACCTGACATTTGTCATTAAAAGGAGGGACAGCTCTAACTTTTGAGAGCTGCTTACCACTGTTCTGTACACAGAAGGCTTTTCTTGTCTGTAGGCCAGTTGTACATCCATAACTTCCAGGTGGAATCTCACAGTCACTCCAACTTGACATTTTCCAGTATGTTCTAAAACAATGAAAAAGAAAAATGAAACAGTTTCACAGTCTCATAAGAAAAAAATTTGTCTTTTTTTGTGTGCATAAATCATGCAGTTCAGAAACATGTTCTAAATCATGTTTGACAGTTTTTTGCAATCAGTTTCAATGACACATGCTACAATGTATGCAATCAATAATCTTTTCTTTGTGCAACAATATCAAATCTTTTTGGCAAATCATTTTTCATTCTATTACTTTATTACACTGACATGAGTGGTTGGCAGGAAAGCGTGCTTGACTATTCTCAATGCTTGATAGTATAACGAGAGCCTTGGAAATGAAGAATTTTCTAAGTTGAAAAAGGGCCATAATTCTGTGAAAATCCATGTTAAGAGTAATGGGTCTTAAGCAGTGAGCTCAAAAAATGCTCTCGATAAAGTGTGTGAAGTTTCAACTCATTTCCCAAGTTTTGGAGATACATGCTTAACTAAAGTGTGACCCTGATGCCTGGGCTAAAAGTAGCTAAAATTTTCTCTCTTTTTTGGTATCTTTTAAGTTATAATGATAGGTCTGTACAAAATTGTTATTAAATGTAAAACATCAATGTGTGAACAAAGGTTTTCAGCTACATTTACATACATTACATGTGTAAGTGTCTGAACAGAAGAATTATAAAATCATATAATTCGAAAGTTATCACTTTAGTGAAAATTTATTGTAGATATTAACAATGAACAATGTAGAATCATATCCTTATAAAAACTTAAGTCTATAGTGTGCAGATATATTGTTTTAACTACTAATAGTTTATACACTTTTTTTTCGTACTTCTATTCTTATACAAGAAGACCAGCCCTCACAAAGTTATCTGAAATTTTCTTTATATATTCGATTCTAAGATTAAGCTAAATAAAATACCAACTACTGATTCATTTCAATTGTTAAAGCAAAAGATGCAAATGAGCTGTCCATGATTGAGATTGAAAATGATCTTCAACCACCATTTCTATAAACTTATATAGCTATGCATTTCCTGATTGGTTGCTTCAAAGCACATGCTTCAAATCTGACCAATGGGCACAAACTTTACAAAACTTAACAAACAGAATAGGCAGAAGGCAATCATGTTCTATATTAACACAGCATAGCAACTTTATACCATCAAGCTGATTATATGTTATTAATGCAACTTTTGCGAGCCTAAGTAAAGCTTTAATACTAACAGACACACAAACGTACTAAGAGGATCCATAAACAAGAGGGCCATGATGGCCCAAAGTCGCTCACCTGTATATAGGCCCCTGGAGCGGGGCCAGTTTAAACCCCAGGGCTTTTATTTGAACAAACTTGGTTGTATATGTATGCATGTATATATATATATATATATATATATATATATATATATATATATATATATATATATATATATATATGTATGTATGTATATGTATATATATATATATATATATATATATATATATATATATATGTATGTATATGTATATATATATATATGTATGTATATGTATATATATACATATATATATATATATATATACACACACACATAATATGTATATATATATCTATATATATATATCTATATATATATATATACATTTATATATATAAATATATATTTATATATATATATATATTTATATATATATATATATAAATATTAAATATATATGTATATATATAATATGTATATATCTAAAAAAAAAAGTCAAGCTAATGAATGACCCCCGGGGCGGGGCCAATTTTGACCCCAGGGCTTTTATTTGAACAAACTTGGTAGACACCCATGAGAACATGTTTCATGCTAAATATCTTAGCTCTAGCTCTTTGAGTTCTTTAAAAGAAGATTTTTTAAGTTTTTACTATATGCACATAGGGAAAATCAATGACCCCCGGGGCGGGGTCAATTTTGACCCCAGGGCTTTTATTTGAACAAACTTGGTAGACACCCATGAGAACATGTTTTATGCTAAATATCTTAGCTCTAGCTCTTTGAGTTCTTTAAAAGAAGATTTTTTAAGTTTTTACTATATGCACATAGGGAAAATCAATGACCCCCGGGGGCGGGGCCAATTTTGACCCCAGGGCTTTTATTTGAACAAACTTGGTAGACACTCACTAGAAGATGTTTCATGCTTTATATCTAAACACTAGCTATCTGGGTTTTTTCAAAGAAGATTTTTAAGTTTTTGCTATACACAGTCATATAAGGAAAATCAATGACCCCCGGGGCGGGGCCAATTTTGACCCTAGGGCTTTGATTTGAACAAACTTTGTAGACACTCACTAGAAGATGTTTCATGCTTAATAGCTAAACTCCAGCTATTTGGGTTTTTATAAAGAAGATTTTTTAAGTTTTTGCTATACACATATAAGGAAAATCAATGACCCCCGGGGCGGAGCCAATTTTGACCCCAGGGCTTTTATTTGAACAAACTTGGTAGACACCCATTAGAACATGTTTCATGCCAAATATCTTAGCTCTAGCTCTTTGAGTTCTTTAAAAGAAGATTTTTTAAGTTTTTACTATATGCATATATAGGGAAAATCAATGACCCCCTGGGGCGGGGCCAATTTTGACCCTAGGGCTTTGATTTGAACAAACTTGGTAGGCACTCATTAGAAGATGTTTCATGCCAAATATCTAAGCTCTTACGGTTTTTTAGAAGAAGATTCTTTAAGTTTTTCTTATTGGTTGCCATGGCAACCAGAGTTTTTAATGGAATTTAAATTTTTGAACAACTTTGAAAGGGGTCCACCTAAGGATCATTTCTGTAAAGTTTGGTTGCAATTGGCCATGTAGTTTAGGAGGAGATGTTGTTTGAAAAGTTTGACGCCATTTTTTGAAGGACGCACGAAGAGCTTTTCAAACAAAAATGCATCTGGATTGACCTACATTAGTACTTACTGGTAGAGAAATGAGAATAATATATATTAATGCAATACAGCCAAAGAAAGGCATGTTATTATTCTTGACGGGCAAAACAAATGAGGTAATAAACACATAAGTAAGATAGCAGGTGACAGATATGATTTGGAAAGACATCATTCGAGTGTACCAACTTACAGACGACTGTAACAATAGGTATATCAACAAGCAAATATTACGTTTCAGACAATAATCTTTCAGCCTACACAGACACAGAAAAGATATAATAGGTATGGCAGAGTACATCAAATAACAAACATGTTTTCAGACTTGTCTCCATCTGAACCAACAGCAAAAGGAACAAAAAGACAGACTTTTACATCAAACTGCTACATGTAAAAGCTCAAAAATTATATGAAAACTGGACTTGACAATATACTAAAACGAAGAATAATTATTATAATAACTATAATTAACAAATACCAAAATACTTTAAAATTTTATATACAGGTCATACATATACATGCTTATATCATTTAATTTTCATTCTACATAATTATGTTGTTTTTTTTATTAGTATTACTATAATCAAAACAGACAACACAAAAGTAATAGTCTGGTTTCAAAATATATTACATCCAATATGCATGCTACATTTTCAGTCTTTCTGACGCGTTATTAGAATACAATACTGAAAACTCATATATCTTACACCTCAAGGTAATTAAACTATACATCATCTCAAGTGACTTACTTGTATGCAAAAATCAATTAAATTTGTGTTAATTTTATCTATGGATGCAAATTTGTTAACAGTGTGTGTAATGCAATGCATATCATAAAATATTATTATAATATTGATTAGTACGCACATTAAACCCTTACCAAGCTAATTTATATCTTAAATGGACTTTAAAAAAATCGTTCAATTCGGACAAAACCTTAATCATTTTAGGGAAAATTTTTCACAATTAAGTACTGACAGCAGAAAAGCAAACAGTGCAGACCATGATCAGATGAAATTGATGTGACGGCTGATCTTGGTCTGTACTGGAAGCATGGGTAGATGAAGGCTAAGGATTAATTAGTATGTATTAAAAGTAAAAAATAATAATAATAATAATGATAAAAGATACCATTATTTTTTGACCACTTAAAAAATCATTTATTTTTGCAACTAGCTAAAAATATCTTAAAATTGTAAAAAGTACATTGTGCTAATTCTTAAAAAAAACAACAATGTGCTCTTTTGTGCAGAATAAAAATTGTTCTAGTTTTAACAGCATTTAAAATGTTAAGAAGTTAAAATATTAAGCATCTAGGGCTTTATTAAATTAAGAAAACATGTTTTAATTAAAAATTAGAAAGATTGGCTTCACTCTAAAGTTTAACTGCCAATAAAATTCACGCTTCAAAAGAATTGTTACAATAAAGCATGACTTATGTATCAAAGCCAATTCATCAATGTTTTACAATTTGGCACTCTTTTCTTAAAAAACAGTTAACTTTAGAAACAATTAAATTGATAAAAGTTCACAAATGTTATAAAGGAAGCTAAAGGAATCTCTTTTTAAAGATAATAAGTGTCAATTTAAATGACTTGTAAAAAGGCATGACGCTAATTGGATAATAATTGCTTTATTTTCAGCATGCTAAATTCTGTAAGAAAATTACATAAACAAAAGTTACATTATATATTTGCCAAAAATAAAATTCTTACCTTTTGTATCTTTTTAAATTAAAGTTAAAACACATGTTTTCATCAGAAAAATATGTATTTCACTAGTAAAATTTTAAATGAGGACATTTAGTATGAAGACATCATTCTAATGTTAGAAGTAAGATATATTATTTATATAAAGTATGTTAGAATGGTTATTTAATTCATCCCCTGACCATGAACACTTGACTCCTTCAACAACAAAGATATGTAATTCAACTTCATTTTATGTTTTATTAAGCACCAGTCAATAGATGGCAGTGTAGGGGATAAAGGGTAAAATATTGAAATTGGAAATTGTTTTTACAATTTGTCTGTCCGTACACTGCTGGGACAATGCCATTGTTTAGTTATGGCACCAAACTTTCACAAGATATGTGTAACTCATAGTGCCATGGCATTAGCTTGGATTTTACCC